GAACCTGGCCGGGCGTGGTGGCTCACGCCTGTAATCCTAGCACTCTGGGAGGCCGAGGTGGGCGGATTGCTCGAGGTCAGGAGTTCAAAACCAGCCTCAGCAGGGGCAAGACCCCATCTCTACTATAAATAGAAAGAAATTAATTGGCCAACTAATATATATAGAAAAAATTAGCCAGGCATGGTGGCGCATGCCTGTAGTCCCAGCTACTCGGGAGGCTGAGGCACAAGGATTGCTTGAGCCCAGGAGTTTGAGATTTCTGTGAGCTAGGCTGACGCCACGCCACTCACTGTAGCCTGGACAACAAAGCGAGACTCTGTCTCAAAAAAAAAAAAAAAAAAAAGAGTGAACCTTAATGTAAACTGTGGACTTTGGGTGATAATGATGTGTCATGTAGGTTTATCAGTTTTTACAAATGTACCACTCTACTGTGCAGTGTTGATAGTGGGTGAGGGTTGTACATGTGTAGAATAGGGGGATATATTGGAACTCTTTACTTTCTGGTCAATTTTGCTGTGAACCTAAAACTGCTCTAAAATAAAGTCCATTAAAAAAGAAAGAAACCCTATACCCGTTAGCTGTCATTCCCCCATCTCTACATCCCACCAAGCCCTAAATAACCAGTAATTTTCCAATCATTAATCTTTTATATTTCTTTTGCATTGTTCAAGTACTTGGCACGGTGCTAGGTATATTATATTTAAGAGCTTAATATGTACAAACAATAGCATCATCTAACTTAATCTTCATGACAACTGTATGAGGTCCAAGTGTTCATTGTCATCTCAAAGCTAAGTGTACTGAAATTTAAAATAGGTTAAACAATTTGTAACAAAGCCATTGTATCCTAGGTCTCCAATCCCAAAACTCATGCTCTTATCCTTTATACCATAATATGCTCTTATCCTTTATACCATAAAATTCTATGAATTTTTGAATTCAGTTTTGAATTCACAATCTCTATGGGAAATTTCACCAAGATATTTTAAAACATAGTGGAAATACTTAAGTTGTTTGGGCATTCTAGCTCGCTCACCAATTTTGCTGTATGTTCCACATTTGGTACTACTATACGATTATGTATGTTTGTAGTTTCATCTTTTATGCTAGTCTTCCACTAAAATTTGTGTTTTGTCATAGTAATTCCCATATCAATGGGTTTTGCTTTTATCATTAATGAATTTTCTACAATTATAGAAAAAATTATATAATTCCTTTATGACACTAAATCTCATTCAATTTGAATGTCTTCATACATCCTTGGACATTTAAGCTTTTAAAAAAATTTTATAGTTTTTGTAATTAAAAAGTGACGCAGTAGTTGTGTGAAAGGAGGTAGTGTATATTTATAAATATGGAAAATCTAATACATAAAATTTAAATTTTAGAAAAGCTACAGAGCAGTGTGTATAATATGACTCCATATGTTTAAAACAAATATGTATGTATATGTGTACAACTTAAATATTTAGTGTCAAGAAAGATATAAAAGAAACCCCTGACAGTGTGACTGTGAGAGCCAAGATGAGAGGAAAGGAATTTATATATACCCTTCTATTTTGTCTGAACGTTTTTCCTATTTCTCCTCCCCTAATCTTTCCACACCCTCAATTTTGCCTTTGATTTCCTCTCACTACTGTCTTTTAATAGCCTCTTTGTGTATCTTTCCACACCTTCCTTCAGGATCATATAAATGTACAGATATACGTAGGGGCTTTTGGGGAAATCATTATATAAAAATGGGATTACACTATAAATATCTCTCTGGAACTTGCTTTTCTCACTATGAGCAGCTTCTGTTTCTAGAAATAGATTTAGCTCTTTATTTGAATAGCTGTGTACTATGGACATCATAACGTAATCACCTTATTGGTAGAAGTTGTTTTTTCTTTTTTTTTTTGCTATTACGTATAATATTGCAACGAGTATTATACATTTATCTTTGTGCATTTGTATAATTGTAGGATATGAATTAGAGGGTACTATGTATTAAAATTTTTGATAGATGCTGCTAATTATCTTTTTTTTTTTTTTTTTTTGGAGACAGAGTCTCACTTTGTCGCCCAGGCTAGAGTGAGTGCCATGGCATCAGCCTAGCTCACAGCAACCTCAAACTCCTGGGCTCAAGTGATCCTTCTGCCTCAGCCTCCCATGTAGCTGGGACTACAGGCATGCGACACCATGCCCAGCTAATTTTTTCTATGTATATTAGTTGGCCAATTAATTCCTTTCTGTTTATAGTAGAGACGGGATCTCGCTCTTGCTCAGGTTGGTTTCGAACTCCTGAATCAAACGATCCATCCGCCTCGGCCTCCCAGAGAGCTAGGATTACAGGCGTGAGCCACCGTGCCCAGCCTAATTGTCTATTAAAAAGGTTATACCATTTCAGCAGCCGTGTGCACAGTTAGAACCTAAATCCTGATTGAAATACCTTTCCTCTCCATAAGAAGTTTAATGGAATGGCTGGTTCCACTAAGGACAAGCTCAGCCTAAGATATCTTAGGCCAAAAAAACAAGAAGTCCTCAAAGACTAATGAGATCTTGTATAACAGATACAAAGAGCCAGCTGGATGAGGCTCTAATGGCCAAATTTGGGAAAATTGCAATATCAGACAATCAATTGTAATTATGCCACATTGAATTTTTTTAAAAAATCAGTGAGTTTCTAGTGATACTAAACAAAGATGATAGAAGGAGAGAGTAAAGCTATTTGAAGACGAATGCTAGCTAATGTAGAAGAAATGATAATATTAAAAAACATTCACCATTTTGCAACCACCAATGTAGTATGTAAAATTAAATTCAGGCAAGGATCATCATCAAGACTAAAGCCTTGGCCAGGCGCGGTGGCTCAGGCCTGTAATCCTACCTCTCTGGGAGGCTGAGGCGGGCAGATCGCTCAACGTCAGGAATTCGAAACCAGCCTGAGCAATAGCGAGACCCCCGTCTCTACTATAAATAGAAAGAAATTAATTGGCCAACTAATATACATAGAAAAAATTAGCCGGGCATGGTGGCGCATGCCTGTAGTCCCAGCTACTCGGGAGGCTGAGGCAGGAGGATTGCATGAGCCCAGGACTTTGAGGTTGCTGTGAGCTAGGCTGACGCCATGGCACTCACTCTAGCCTGGGCAACAAAGCGAGACTGTCTCAAAAAAAAAAACAAACAAAAAGACTAAAGCCTTAGTGAGAAGTTGTTGGGCTTTTCACATGGTACCACCAATCACAAAGGGAAAAAATATACAGTATACCTTTACACTAGAGAAATCCTACAGGTACTACCTTAACCAGTACCTTAACCAGATGCTCAAACTCTACATCATTAATGATGGGAAATCCCATTGTTATGTTCCACTTTGTTGGATGCAGGAAGAAGTACCCAATTTACTTATGAAGTATTCTTTCCAAAAATGTTTAACCTAAATTTAATCAACTCTCATGTTTATCTGCAGGATTACCTTCTGTAGTTAGACTTGTAGACTATATGACGTTAGGTAGGTTAAGTAACTTGAGTCTCAGAGTGCTTGTTTGTAAAACAATGACGTTGAATCATATAAATGTATAAAAATAACCTAGCATATTGTTTGTTATATAGTTAGAACTTAATGTATTAGTTCTGCTCTGCTGTCAGAATCTATTTATGGCCACCAAGTATGTAGCCAAATATTATTAAAACTACATTTTACTTTTTTACATTTAATTTCCTTATCTAATTGTTGCATGTAATTTGTTGGCATATTTTGTGAATTCCCTACACTTGCTTACCTCCATAAGCTAAAGAAGCCCCAAGTATGCCATAAAGCCCTCTAATCTAAAATGTTCTAGGGACATTTTAGGTAGGAGAGCATGAATTTGAACATCTCTATATTCATTAGAAATTTAGGTTGACTTCTATGAAAATACTGATTTTGTAGATTAAAAATGGTCAAATATCAGCAGTTTCATGTGGTTTAATCTAATATGTACTTTAGTGGCAGAGTCTTGGTGCATCATCTTTATTTGCCAAGTAACCTTTTTTTCTTCCTTACAGTTTTAGAAAAAGATTTGCTCGAAGCAGGAGACAGGCAGGATTGGTACTGAGCCAAGTTTGAAGGAAATTGTGATATAGAGTGGTATTTTAAATATTTTAGGATGTTTCTTCATTTCATACTCTTCCTTTCCCACTACCCATCCCATGTACAGTAGTTATTCTTTTCAATCACTTCTTACCTCTTGCCTTTTTTTTCAAGTAGTGGGAAATGAAAAAAAAGGGAAGAAAATCATTCTAGCTCTTCTTTTTCCTTCCTTTAAACTCTAGATTGCTCTTTTTGAATAAGCAATTGCAGAATCTTGAAAACTTAAGCCAGAATAATTTACTTCATGCTCCAGCTTGTTCTCTTCTAAAGATAGCACTTACAAATAATAATGTACTTTTTTTTTTTTACCCTAGTTACTAGTAGAATATGGAAGGTAAGATAGGTTGAGGAATTTTGAGTGCATTTTCTTCTATAGAGAACATAAGCAATGAAGTAATAACTCATAGGGAATTGGAAAGGAAAGTTTCCGGTTGTAAGGGAGTATTAAAGTTGTTACATCATAGCAGGATCGTCCCTGAAATATGGCTTTTATAACAAGGGCCATGATTGTTATTCCTGTAAGAAAGTGACCTACCCTCCTTAAAGTATGTATTCTGGGAAAGTGTGTATAGTTTTAGTATTCCCAAGTCTTCTTTTTATTTCCTCAAACAAGAAGAAGTATATTCATTGGAGGACCTTCCTTCCTAAGGAGATGTGATCAAAGCTGAATATATTAATAAATAGCTTTATTAAAATCTTTAGTTTTTATCTGGGCATGGTGACACTCACCTGTAGTCCCAGCTACTTGGGAGGCTGAAGGTTGAGGCAGGAGGTTCCTGTAAGCCTAGGAGTTCTGAGGCTGCAGTGAGCCCTGTCTAGAAAGAAAATCCTTAGTTGTGGGCAAGCCAAATTATTGCCGGTGTGAACATTATTGTTTGTGTCCTAGACAGCTGCTCAGGAAGCAGTCCTGCATGCATCTGGAAATGGCACACCTTTACCATCTAAGGACTACTGCATGTTGTATAACCCTCATTGGACAACTCTTCCAAGTACACTAGAAAATGCAGTAAGTAAATCACAGTTACTATTCATAAACATAAAAATATTGACGAAGTAAGAGTGAGTGATAATTATGTTTTAATGTGAAACAGTTGTAATATATGGTGATTCATAAGTCATAATTATTTTATAGATTTTTCTCAAGTATTTATCTGAGAAAATAAGAGAATTTTAAAAGACTTACCTGATGTTTGTCATGAAATATTTCTAATTTTAAAGAACATTGTGTTAAACCAATATTGATACCTTATAAATGAATGCATTTAGGGTGAATTATGATATGTTAAAGACATTTCTTATTTTCAGACTTCCGTTAGTTTGATGAATCTGACTTCCACACCGCTATGCAACCTTTCTGATATTCCTCCTGATGGTATAAATAACAAAGCAGTTGTGGTACACTGGGGAACCTGCCATTTTCTTGAAAAAGCCAGAATTGCACAGAAAGGAGGTGCTGAAGCATTGCTGGTTGTCAATAACAGTGTCCTAGTAAGTTATAAAACTATCATAACTTCTTTTGAGCTCGTGACATCAAATTTCATAGAAATTGAATTAATTTCTTTGTGTGTGGTTGAGGGGCTGCATTTTGAATAATCTGATGGTATGTTTCTTTGTAAATAAACATTCAAGATCTGGTAGGCATTTGATTGGGAAGTTTTGTAGCTTTTGTTCTATTCCTAGAATAGATAAGACTTTGTTAGGAACAAATAGATATAGGTATAGGTATATGTGTATTACATATACATTATGATATATTTATGTTTACTAGAATAGTTTGCATTTTGTTCTGTAAATATATTAGTAGTTAATAAGTTTTAAAAATGTTTTTTTCTTTTAGTTTCCTCCCTCAGGGAACAGATCTGAATTTCATGATGTGAAAATACTGATTGCATTTGTAAGCCAAAAAGACTTTAAAGATATGAATCAGGTAAAGTACTAGTTTTGTATTAGATGAAGTTTATAAATAGTACAGTTCTTTACTTTTAATCACTGATATTTAATTTTGAGTATTGTATATGCTCCTTTTGTTAACAGGAAGCTATAAAAGCCTACCAAGCTTGTATCTAAAAATTACTAACCCCTCATTTGGTATAAAGTACCTCAAAGCTTGAACTTTAAAAAGGATGTTTATTTGTTTTGAGTTATTTTAAAACCTCTTGTGTCTTATCGTTTATCTTAACTTTAAATCCCTGGACAAAATGTGATTGTGTGGAACACTGCACTTTCAAGATCTTATAAACCAAAGCATATCCTCATACTTTTGACTAGAGAATATATCATGTGGTCAAACAATAGTTCTAGTCTTCTCTACTCTCTGATGTGTAGTATCCATTCCAGAGTGAAATGTGGACTGTTGCTGCCATACTCTATACTAGAGAGAAAAGTTATTCCAGTGTTTAACTTTTATTTTGCCTTTTAGACTCTTGGAAATAACATTACCGTGAAAATGTATTCCCCATCGTCACCTAGCTTTGATTATACCATGGTGGTCATTTTTGTAATTGCCGTGTCCACTGTGGCATTAGGTGGATACTGGAGTGGACAAATTGAATTGTAAGTGTAATTAAACTTCAGTGTTTCGTAACAAATAGGTAAAAAATAATTGTTTTTTAATCATTTTAATGTATAACAGCATTTTAAAAATTTGCCTGTCCTCAGAATATGGTGCCAATAAGACCAGATTGCAGGGTTGTCCTCATAGTGGTCATTTACCGTTTCACCAAGAAGAAGAGTGTCATGGGTTCCTTTAACTCTTCTGGCAGGGAAACCTTGAAGTCACATTAGGGACTCTTTTAAGTTAAAATGTTTAATTCTTTCCCCCAGGAAAGGTCAAAATACTTAATATCCTAACCTATTTATTTAAATTGGAAGAAAATAAGCAAGAGAAGATAGTGAGTTTTTCTGTTCCTCCTGGGTTGGGTCTTTACAGTGTGTCCTCATCATTCTGTATAATGCTTTAGACAGTCTAAGGATATTAGGCAGGCCTATATTTTAATTTAAATATAAAAATTCCACGTGTGCATAAAATTTGGATTTTCTATTTAATAGGAACCTGAACGCAGTCTCCCTTTAGTTTTATACCTTTGGCTCTAGATTAAAACAGACAATATAGTAAGTATGGAAGAGTCAGTTTGTATTCATAACTCTGAATGAAAAAAGTGTGCCCAGAACATATTATTTCATATATAAAGGGCAATATGTTTGCCTTGTGAATTGTTCGATAGGTTTTCTATTAAAAAGGGCTTATGTGTAACTAAATGAAGCTAAACTTATTCGTAATCTCTTAAATACTAACATTTGATTGACTTACATCAAGAGGGAAATCTTAGAATTTAACAAGTGTAGGGTCCTGGGGTGTAGAGCTTTAAACATTTTATGTATTTGGAAAGCATATTTTAACATATATCAGTCATATTTTTCATGAGAGTATGCATAGTTTTTTTCTTCATTATTAATCTTTATAAAGCATAGTGTGTGAGATCTGTAAGAGTTCTAAGATCATTTTCTATATTGGTGAAATTTTAGAAATAATTTTCAAAAAGCTATTGATTCATTGAAAATGTTTTCCTATTTATGTAGATTCTCACTGTACTTACATTACTATGTAAATTTTTTCCTTTTTAGAGTAGTGCTTCTCATACTGTCATGTGCATACTTAACTATCTGGAGATTTTGTTAAAATACAAATTCAAATTTAGCCCTTTGCACTCAGATGTCGAGTGTGACTCAACACGGTTAGCATCCATAGCAGCTCATATGTCGAGCCACACTCGACACGTAGTTTCACCTCGGGAGAATGGGGGATTTTTGTCTATTTTTTCAGTATCTTTTCTTGTTTTCATTAGCATGAAAGGACAAGTAAAATGTAAATGCAGAGATGGTACACTAACTTCCAGGGGTAGATTATTATCCACTTACTTAGAGCAACGTTTAGATGGAAAGCTCCATATAATCACACCTCACCCTGACAAAAAACACAAAGATTGTGTTGTTTGTTCTAACAGAAAAATCAAAGGAAGAAGAAGAGAGACAATTTATATTTGCAAAACATGTGCATGTAAACCAGGTCTTCATGTGGATGAATGTTTCAAAAAATATCACACCATGAAAAATTATAGAGATTAAAAGTACTCTTTGAATGTATCAATAATTTGAAATATTAAAAAATCCAAATAAATAAGTTTGTATGAAAAGAAACTCCAGTTTTTATTCTACTGCTGCGCTTTGTAAAATCTGGGGTATTTAAAAAATTAAATCCCAGGCCGGGCATGGTGGCCCATGCCTGTAATCCTAGCACTGTGGGAGGCCGAGGCAGGCGGACTGCTCGAGATCAGGAGTTTGAAACCAGCCTGAGCAAGAGCGAGACCCCGTCTCTACTATAAATAGAAAGAAATTAATTGGCCAACTAATATATATATAGAAAAAATTAGCCGGGCATGGTGGCACATGCCTGTAGTCCCAGCTACTCGGGAAGCTGAGGCAGGAGGATTGCCTGAGCCCAGGAGTTTGAGGTTGCTGTGAGCTAGGCTGATGCCATGGCACTCACTCTAGCCTGGGCGACAAAGTGAGACTCTGTCTCAAAAAAAAAAAAAAAAAAAAAATTAAATCCCGAATAGAATAAAGGAATTAAGAAAAAAGCAAGTGAGTGCAAAAGGTTAGTAAGTTTTGGACAGGGGCCATGATTCTGCATTTCTTTTCAATTTTGTTTTTAGAGATAGGCCCTCACTCTGTCACCCAGACTGAAGTGCAAAGGTGCCATTATTCCTCACTGTATACTTGAACTCCTGGGCTCAAGCAGTCTCCTGCCTCAGCCTCTCAAGTATTTGGGACCACAGGCATGCCTGGCTAATTTTTTTATTTTTTTCAAACTCCTAACCTCGAGCAATCTGCCCGCCTCGGCTTCCCAGAGTGCTAGGATTACAGGCGTGAGCCACCGCGCCCGGCCTGCTATTTTTTATTTTGTAGAGATGGGGTCTTGCAATATTGACCAGGCTGGTATTGAACTCCTGGCCTCAAGCAATCCTCCTGCCCCAGCCTCCCAAAGTGTAGGGTTAGAGGCATGAGCCACCATGCCTGGCTGGATTCTCCATATTTAAACAAACTCCCGAGTCATTTTGCTGACCCCTGGATCACACTTTGAGTTATCAAGCAAACTTCTTTATATACATGTTAGGACAGACTCCTCCTCAACAAAATTAGAGATTGAAGAGAAATCAGCTTTTTTATTCATAAAATATAATGATAGGGCAGAAACAGAGTTTGTTGCCTTTAATAACCAGATTGTGAGAGATGTTCCTTACATGCAAGATGATAGATTTTAAAATTGAGGGGGCTAATTCTGAGAGCAAAATACAGATAGAAATGTATGTAGGAGGTGAAGGAAGTGGTGACCATATGGAGAAAGAGGATATGAATCAGTGATAAAAAGGAAAAAGTTCCCTAAAAAGAATTATTAAAAACATAAGGGGCCAGGTGCAATGGCACACACCTGTAATCCCAGCTGTACTTGGGAGGCTGAGGCAGGAGAATCACCTGAGCCCAGGAGTTTGAGGTCGTAGTGAACTATGATGATGCCACTACACTATAGCAGGACAACGGAGTTAGTCCCTGTCTTAAAAAAACAAAACAAAAGACTGTCATTTAGCAAGTATAGACAGTAAGATGGAAAAAGAATAAGGCTTAGGAAATGGAAAATTTGCCAGAACAGGACCTCACAACCCAAAATTATGCTGCCAAATGAAAGATGGACCATATACAAAAGAGAAAGATGCCTTGGTTCTATAGAAAGACTTTTCAGCAGAGAGTGTAAATCTTAGTATAATAAGATCACTGGTCCTCAGGCTTTGTAACCTAAGATGGCATGAATGAAAGCTTAGCTTCCTATTGCATGTGGCCCTTCAAGCTGATTTAAGAGTACCGTTTTTTTAAAAGATGAATTGTAATATTTTAATGTGATACAAACCTAGTACAATATATGCTTTCCTTTCAAGAAATTGCCTTTGCTTTTTAGTACACTGATGGTGAATATGTATGTCTCTAATTGTTTCCTACTCAGATACCACATTTATTGACACTTCTGTTAATATTCTGTCATCCAGTTCTAGACTTTCAGGGGAGGTGATGGTGTACCTCCACCACTCTCTCCTTGCTCTTTTCCCAGGCAACCTACTTAGAGGTACAAATGCTTAATATGGTGGCCATCCCAATCAACAATTTTCTGATAAGAAAGTGGCATATTGGTAAATAAACAGCTGACAAATGTGCAGTTTGGTAGAAGTAAACTTTTTTTAACCTAATTTTGTATTGAGCCCAGACCTGATGAGCACAAGATATGTGCAGGAGTGAGTGGGGTTTAGTAGAACAGAGTTGAAAAGCCCGAAGCTGGAAAAGTATGTAGAAGGCTCTGTAACTAGGAGGAGACAGTAAGGTTAACAGAATAGAGGTTGCCCAACCAATGATACTTGTGGCTCTTTTCCTCTTTGACTTCTGTCTCTGCCTTTTATTGGCTCTGTGACCTAACAAAGTTGTTGGGAGAATTAGAGACAGTATTTTGATATCTTAAATAACAGTAGAGCAAAGCTATGTGTTGAACTTCTTTTGAATCCTTCATAATACATTGATGAGTATAAAATAGGCATATAGTAAATACTGAGTTGGTTGATAGGAGAATTTAGTGTTTGCATTTAAGAGAAGCTAGTTTTAGAAGTACTTGACTATCTGTAAGTTGATAATTGTAAATTTGTAAGACGTGTTGGTTATAATTTAAAATTTACAAACATTAATTTGTTTATGTAATAAATGTTATCTATTTCAACAATTTTGCCTCTAGAAAAAAAATGCTGTTTCAAAAGTTAGTGGTTAAAGATAGATGATCTCTGGAGGGTAGAATTATAAGGGGGTTTTACTTTTTAGACTAAATATTTTTTTTTAGTGTGCAGTTTTTTAAAAGTACTTTATTTTTTTTTTTTTTTTTTTTTTTTGAGACAGAGTCACGCTTTGTTGCCCAGGCTAGAGTGAGTGCCATGGCGCCAGCCTAGCTCACAGCAACCTCAAACTCCTGGGCTCAAGCAATCCTGCTGCCTCAGCCTCCCATGTAGCTGGGACTACAGGCATGCACCACCATGCCCGGCTCATTTTTTCTCTATATATTAGTTGGCCAATTAATTTCTTTCTATTTATAGTAGAGACAGGGTCTCCCTCTTGCTCAGGCTGGTTTCGAACTCCTGACCTCAAGCAATCCACCCGCCTCAGCCTCCCAGAGTGCTGGGATTACAGGCGTGAGCCACCGCGCCCGGCCAGTACTTTAATTTTTAAATGAGAAACAAATTTTGGCTGGGCATGGTGGCTCACACCTGTAATCCTAGCACTCTGGGAGGCCAAGGCGGGCGGATCGTTTGAGCTCAGGAGTTCGAGACCAGCCTGAGTAAGAGTGAGACCCCATCTCTTCTAAAAAAAAAAATTAGCTGGGAATGGTGGCACACACCTGTAGTCCCAACTACTTGGGAGGCTGAGGCAGGAGGATTGCTTGAGCCCAGGAGTTTGAGGTTGCTGTGAGCTAGGCTGACGCCACGGCACTCTAGCCAGGGCCACAAAGTGAGACTCTGTGTAAAAAAAAAAAAAAAAAAAAATTAGTGTTAGAGATAGATTTTTAAAAGAACTGCTTGGCTGAGATTTGCTGAAGTTTCTGTGTGTGTTTATGCAGGGAAAACTTGAAGGCAGTAACAAATACTGAAGACAGAGAAATGAAGAAAAAGAAGGAAGAATATTTAACTTTTAGTCCTCTTACAGTTATAATATTTGTGGTCATCTGCTGTGTTATGATGGTCTTACTTTATTTCTTCTACAAATGGTTGGGTAAGAACTCACATTTTATGTTTACTACTTTTGGCATACATTCTTTTTATTGACTTTACCAGATCTATCTTTTTCCTTTAAAGCATAATTTGTCAGAATGTATTATCTCTATTACTATGAGATAAAAAATTTTCAGATTAAAAATATACTGTGTTTTGAGATAAAAATACTTCTTCCTGGATGACATGAAAGAATTGCTATGGTCCCTAAATTTCCCTCTCTGCAGATAAAGAACCATAGCTCAGTATCTAACCAGTGAACTAATGGTGGCTATATTTAGTTACATGAAATAGAGTATTATTCTGATTATTGATTTATTGCCTCTGCTTACTCCCAAAGTGTACTCCTTTTGTCTTTTTGCAAATCAACATGTTGAATTGCTTGAATTTTGTTTTACTATACAAGCAGTTAGGATCATACTATATCTGAAGACACACAGATACTTGCCTGTGGTCTAGAGAGTAACTGGTACTTTTTTCCCTTTAGGAAAGAAGGGATAAGGCCAGGCACGGTGGCTCACACCTGTATTCCTAGCACTCTGGGAGGCCAAGACAGGAGGATAGTTTGAGCTCAGGAGTTTGAGACCAGCCTGAGCAAGAGCGAGACCCCTGTCTCCACTAAAAAAATAGAAACAAATTAGCTGGACAACTGAAAATATATATAAAAAATTAGCTGGGCATGGTGGTGCATGCCTGTAGTCCCAGCTACTCGGGTGGCTGAGGCAGACGTTTGCTTGAGCGCAGGAGTTTGAGGTTGCTGTGAGCTAGGCTGACACCATGGCACTTTAGCCCAGGCAACAGAGTGAGACTCTGTCTAAAAATAAAAATAAAAAAGAAGGGGTAGGAACTGTAATGGCTTGCGCATCCCCTGGATAATATTCTTAATGGTCTGACAGGATAGAAATTCACCATCCCTGGCTGGCATACAGCACAAAGAGGAGGGAGACCAGGGAAAAGGAGAGTGTGCCTGATAAGAACTAGCAAAAACCCTTTGTACCCTGGGAAACACTGTGAAGTTCATCTACCTCCAACAGATGAACAATTCAAAGATCCCCCAAAAGCTAGACGGAAAGCATCAATTCTTCCTTTGCCAACCATTTTGCCTCCTATCAATAATGTGTGTTGAGACACTTTGCAGTACTGGTGCCAACAACTCAATTTGAGTACTGATGGCAAGAAAACAGAAGTTTTTCAGAGGCTTCAGCAGCATGCTTATCCTGAATAGAAATACGATACCCCCAAAACACCAAAGGAAGCCAGAGTACACCCATATTCAAGGACACACAAGACAGGGACCAAGAGAGCAAGGACCAAGAGAGCAAAGCTTCAGGAATGTTGCAAGATGAACCAGGAAGCAGAAGAGACTGGTTTTGTTGAAGTGATATCGTCACCTCGGCAATCCTCGTTGGCATCGTGGGGAAGGATTGCTGCAAAAGCTGTTCAGACTAAGGCTGCAAATGCCTGTTCTCTTCCTGCTTCTGCTGAGGCCTTTTTGATACAAGCCTCTGGCGTCAGGTGGTGTGTGGTCCGTGGTGAAGCTCTCCCAGCAGACACAAAGGGTTGGGTTCGCCTGCAGTTTCATGCGAGTCAGGCCTGGGTGCCCACCACTCCCAGGAAGATGATGTCTCTCCTCCTGTTACCAGCCTGCCATTTCCCATCTCTGGGCCTGGATGATAATATGTTATGCCCTGACAGTGCTAAGAGGAATAAGAAGATAATGAAAGCATTAATGACAACAGAGAATAAGAAACGATCTGGTTCGAACACAATGTAGGAACCAGAATATGCCATCTCAGAGTATTAGAGAAAGATGAATGCACTTTGCAGAATGGTGTAACCTCATGTGAAGGAATGGAAAAGAGATCATATGAAAGAATCATTGAGATCTACGAAACAGAATCAGTGATTAGGACTCCATAGTGAAAATGGTTGACTGGGTGACAGCCTCATCAAAAGAGACTCTTTTGGGGGCCTGAAAAGCCACTAAAACAAAGTCATTGCAATTGAAAAAAGAAAAACCCTTTATAAAACCCACTGAAAGCTGCAATGCTTATTTGGAGAACATTAGCATAAATTTCTGAACTAGAAAATTAAGGCTCTAGGATTAATTTCAGTTTATTGTTCAATTTCTCCTCTCCTGTGGTAGCAATTTAAAAACTAGACCTATGACATTTATTTCCAATCTGAAAAAAAAATCATTACCAGCCTAAGCAAGAGCAACACCCCGTCTCTACTAAAAACAGAAAAAAATTAGTTGGACCTAGTGGCTCCTGTCTGTAGTCCCAGCTACTCAGGAGGCTGAGATTGGAGGATCACTTGAGCCCAGGAGTTTGAGGTTGCTGTGAGCTAGGCTGATGCCACAGTACTCTAGCCCGGACAACAGAGTAAGACTCTGTCTCAAAAAAAAAAAAAAGGGAAATGGCTATCTAGATTACTCTGTCTTTCTCACCTACAGAACAGACCTAGAGTTTTCTGAAGTTAACTATGATAGAATTTGAAGAATGCCAGTATAATTTATATTTCCATGATGAAATTTTGAGAAAGTTGGGAAAAAGAATGTTTTTGTTTAAGTAGAATGATTCCCTCCCTCCTTTTAACAACAAAGAGGCCAAATTATTTATTTGTTTATTTTATTTTTAATTTTTTTTGAGACAGTCTCTCACTCTGTTGCCTGGGCTAGAGTGCAGTGGCGTTATCACAACTCACTGCAACCTCAAACTCCTGGGCTCAAGCGATCCTCTTGCCTCAGCCTCCCCAACAGCTGTGATTACAGGTGCGTACCACCACCACACCTGGTTAATTTTTCTATTTTTTGTAGAGACAGGGTCTCACTCTTGCTCAGGCTGGTCTTGAACTCCTGACCTCCTGCTTGGCCTGCCAAAGTGTTAGGATTACAGGTATGAGCCACTGCACCCAGCCAGATTTGATTTTATCTGGTCAAGTTATTATAGATAAATTACCCATAGGAAAATACTGTTAGCATGGTTAATGTCTAAAGTGGGTGTTAGTTCTCATCCCTAAATTGCATTTGTAAATGTTTTCTTAATGGTTTATTCTTACATTTAAATGAAATATTCGTAAATGTCTGTAACTCACTTCATAGAGATCTTTAACAAACATGTCAGGTTGGAATCATTGAATGATAGAAAATGTAGAGCCAGCTTCAACCCCTTAAACAATCTTACCAATGTATAATGGAACAAAAACAACACATAAAGTAGCCACTCTTAAAACTCAAGATCTAAATATTTTCTGAATCTACTACTAATTAACTACTAATTGGAATTAGTAGTTAATTCAGGTAATAATACAGTCACTGCATTCAAAGTATCATGATCCAATAAAGAAAGTTAAAAAATTAATATTCTTTGTCTGAATATTTTCTTAACCACATTTCCTTCTGTTCTCATTTGGTGTCTTGTTTTTTTCTAGTTTATGTTATGATAGCAATTTTCTGCATAGCGTCAGCAATGAGTCTGTACAACTGTCTTGCTGCACTAATTCATAAGATACCATGTGGACAATGCACGTATGTATCTCTTCTAATGTTGATATTTATAATTTTAAAACAATAAATAGAAATAGAAGTATTATTTTAAATCTGTGCAGTCCGACATACATTGGACTTATGGTTGTTTAAATTTAAATTAATTAAAGTTAAAATTAAAAATTCAGTTTCTCATTCTCATTAGCCTCATTTCAAGTGTTCAAGCTAGTAGCCACTATATTGAACAGCACAGATATAGTACATTTTCATCATCACAGAATTCTATCGCACTGATAAATATTTTATTATGTCTTATTTGTTTTACTTAAAATCAAGACTTAAATTGGTATTTTAGTCACTGCTTATGACTAATTAATATTTGCTAATTCTTATATCAAGTGAACGTTGTATTTCATTTGCAATGTAAACTATTTCAATCTTTTTTTTAGGATTGCGTGTCGTGGAAAAAGCATTGAAGTGAGACTAATTTTTCTCTCTGGACTATGCATAGCCACAGCTGCTGTTTGGGCTGTATTTCGAAATGAAGATAGGTATGAATATTCAATATATTTTCTTTTAGATTAAGGATGGATTTTTTTTATATCTTATCCTGAGACTTATTCATTATGATTATCATGGCATTTTTTTGCTTTTATCCCAGAACACTAATCTTGAAACAAGCTACTTTTTAAATAAGCAGATCTTACGTTAATGGATTTGAACTCATATAGAGAAGGAAATACGAATTATGATGTAAACATCTAGACTGCAATAGATTTATATGTGTGTATAGCTGCTACACCATGGAGTCCAATGCAACTCCTAAAGAATGAAGATCTCTGTGAATTTGATTTGCAGTGATTTATTTCCAGGATATATTTTTAAGAGAAAAAAGCAAAGTCCAAAAAATATGTAGAATATCCTACATTTCATATAAAAAAGAATGTATCTGACCATTTGCAGCAAGGATAACCATAAAAAATATATACTTAGGTTTATTTAATGGTTTATTAATAAAATTATTGAAAATTTAATGGCCTAAAATTTGAGAAACAAAGTTCAGGCAACTTTAGGCAGCTTTAGGTATGGTAATCAATTGATAATTGTGCATATCAGTTTCTGGTACAGTAAGTTGCATATCTCTCATTCCCTTTATGTTCAAGCTGAATAGTCAAATTATAGTAATTGAATGGAATTACTTCTTTTGAAAAGTTTCATCTGAAAATAACTAGATAAAGCAATAAAAATATCTTGATTTTTAGGTGGGCGTGGATTTTACAGGATATTTTGGGGATTGCTTTCTGTCTAAATTTAATTAAAACACTGAAGTTACCCAACTTCAAGGTAAAGTAAACTATCTTTTTTTTTAAATAACTTTATTGAGGCATAATTTACATGCAATTAAAAGCACCCATTTTAAGTATACTGTTGATTGAAATTTTACAAATGTATACCTTTGTAACTACCATCCCAGTGAAGTTATATAGAACATTTTTCATCTCTTCAGAAAGTTCTATCATGACCTTTTGCAATGAGTCCTAACCCCCAGCCCTGGGTAACAATTGACTTGCTAGCTAAAATATTTTTAATCATTCATATAATATGCCAAATTCATAAAATCTTTACAAGACTAAATAATCAGAGAACGTTGCTTTGATTCAGTGATTAAAAGAAATATGAGGTGAAGATAAGGGTTTCTTTAGGGTTTTTTTGTAGAGAGAGGGTCTCACTCTGTCACCCAGGCTGGAGTACTGTGGCCTGATCATGTTCACTGCAGAATCAAACTTCTGGGTTCAAGTGATCCTCCTGCCTCAGCCTCCTGAGTAGCTGGGAGTGTAGGCATGTGCTACCATACCTGGCGAATTTTTCTATTTTTTGTAGAGATGGCGGTTTCACCATATTGCCCAGGCTGGTTTCAAACTCCTGGCCTCAAGGGATCCTCCTGCCTCAGCCTCCCAAAGCGCTAGGATTATAGGCATGAGCCACTGTGCCCAGCCAAGATAAGGGTTTTAATGTGTTTTGTAGAATAAAACTATACATAGTAGTAACTATAAAGTACCCTTCCAAAAATAGGATTCAAATGTATATTCACATGTTTATTTGTATTTATGAAATAATTTAATCTCTTAATTTAGATGTGGGAAGATTGACCTTTAAATTTGCTTGTTTCTTCAACAGTCGTGTGTGATACTTCTAGGTCTTCTCCTCCTCTATGATGTGTTTTTTGTTTTCATAACACCATTCATCACAAAGGTATGACCGTATTTTTTAAATTCATTAAGAAACTTGCTAAAAGATGATGCTTTTAGATTATGAATTTCAAGTTCATTGAAATTGGCTTTTTAAGAGAGGGTATTTTCAAGCCCTTTAATCCATTTTTGTTAGATAAAAATTATCTCCTGACTGATATAAATATGAAAATGTCTGTAATTTTTCTTCCCTTTTTAAAGTGATTTTTAAATTTTTTCTTATTAATGTTTACTGTAGACAGAAAAAAAAAAAGTGTCATTGCTACTTTCATTTCTGAAACCCTAGTTTGAGACTAAGAAAGAGGAGCACATTGTATGTCTGAAGGTCTGGAGTATAGCTCTGTAACCTTGCAACCCCGGGCTATTCGCTGAACTCTTTCTGCTTTAGTTTCTTAATCCATTGTGAGTATTACTAGCTTTTCATCCTCCCACCCCAACAGTAGAGTTCTTTTGTTTGCAACTGACAGAACCCAACCTAAGCCTTCTATACCAAAAAGGTCCCATGTATCCAAGCTGCATGTAGAGGTCCGGGTAGGGATATCCTCAGGAGAAACTTGACCGAGGGCCACATGCTTGCCCTTTTTGCTTCTGTCCATTTGTTTATTCTTTCAGACTGACTTTTTCCATGAGGTCAGAATCATAGCATCTAGCAGCTCCTAGGTCATATATTCCCAGCTCTGTCACTAGCTCCTTAATAAGATGAGGAGGAGTATTGGGTGAGTATGGCAGTCCATCATTTGCCCAATTTTTCTACCTCGACCCTTTTCTTGTCTCATGAATATATTATTAATTATTGCATAATTCTCCCCCTTTCCTCTACTTTGAGTCTTCCTCTATAACTTTATATCATCGCTTTATCTTTTTTTTCTTCTTTTTCTTTTTTCTTCCCCCTGCCAAACCACCCCACTTCATCCCTTTATCTTTTGTTTCTCTCATATACTTAGTATTTGATATTCCCTACTTTTCTTACAATTCATTCTTTTATCCATTCTTTGAACTCTACCACATAGAAAATCACGATAAAAATCTACTCCTCTGATATTTGCTGTAATGGCATAAGGACAAACATATGCCCTATTGGGGAACTAAAATTGCAACTAGGTAACAACTATAGTTAATTGCCTCAAATTATAACTGCCCAGACTGTTTTACTAGCACCTTTCCATGTGTTAATGATGAGTCATTTGACTCATTGACTTAATTGAATAATAGTAACCTTAAAAAAGCATAGAATTCATATTATGGGCTATAACTAAAATTGTTAATTTAAAGCATTTTTTAGTTCTTTCCAAAGCAATCCTAGCTTGTATCCATTTACTTAGTTCAAAAATATGTTTTTGCAGGGTACCCCATCAGTGAAAGTGTTCTCTCTACAAAGCCTTTCCTATGAATGAGCAGATAATATATATAGCATATAACACACATATGACACAGTAGATATAGCTATAAACTGTAACAAACTCTTTTTAAAAATAATTTTTCCATTCTAACATTAGTATCACTTTGTGAATACCAAACATGTCTGCCAGCAAATGATTTCCATTCTCCACATATGAAATTTTTCAAAATTTTAAAGTTAACAAATAATAATAAAGGTGGGTTTTAGCCTCCTTTCTTTCTTAAGTGCTTAGGAAATTCTTCATCTTCTGTTTTCTGTCTTAGTTCCTACTGAGTCGGAATGTGATTTCTAATAATCTGATACAGTGTTTCCACTGAATGTCCAGCTGACATTCTCTTTGGAATTCACTTTTACAGATTTACTTTAATACCTTCTTCTCAGCCTGATTTGTTTGTTTTTTTTAAGTCTGTAGACCTTACTTTAGTAGGTAACTTAAAATGAAAATCAGATATTTAATTGCTGATTTTCATGGTTTGTTTTCTCTATAAGTTTGAAGGATTAAATATTGGAATCCTAAACATGTTCTTAACCCAGGTATTAGTGGACTTTTAGTGAGTTGGCAGGGCAGGCAGGTTGGCATAGGAGTACAGCAGTTAGAGCTTGTCTTATTCATTATTTTCATTCACCACTGTACTCAGATTGTATCTTGCAGATAGTAGTTACTCAATTGTCTGAATTTATGGGAGGATGTCAATGATGATCTTAGTTAAATCTTTTAAATAATAATTAGAAAATAAGCCAAAATGAACTCTTTATCTGGAAATTTGATCACAACCTGGGGATTTGCTTTAAGGAACTATATTTAGTATTCATTTATTTTCCTAAACTCCTGTGACTTAACCCTTCTGTAACCCAAAGCTTAAGATGAGGAAAAGATTTCTGTAGCTAGGGATTTTATCCTTTTTACTGTGCTCAGGTATCAGTGAGGTCCTTTTAAAAACACTCAAGTGATTTCTCCTGTGCACTCCACCCACATGGAAAATATTTTAGTCAGTCAACTTTTCCTAAAATGTAACGTACGTTTATCTTCTCCCTGCCTGTGGTTATATATTTATCATAGTGTGAAACATAAAATGGGTGTTTCATGCAATCTTAGTTTGATATTTCTAAACATTTTCCTTCTCCACAACAGACTTGGCTATCAGGAAAAAACTTTTTCATGAACTTCTCACACAGCCCATACAAAAAGACTTTAGCCAGATACAAGGCAGGGAAATTTAGCTAAAGTTAATGTTTTGATTGGAACATGGAAATCAGGCAGGGCTGAAATTGGATGGGAATCAGGCTAGAGAAGCTTCTCAGATTCTATAAAGGGCTGGGTCTTTTCAAGTTTGGTTTTATTGTTATCATGGTGAGTAGCCAGAAGTCAAGTGGACATTTATTCAAATTAAGTTACCAATATTTGTTACAAAGCTAAATATAAAAGATTTTAGTATGTCCTTCTTCATTGATATTGCTAAAAATTACTAAGAGCCATAGTATATGACATAATATAACTTAAAGTACTATACCTAAAATGTATAACCCCTTACAACTGTTACATATGAATATGTCAGTACATGTCAGAGCTCAGGGTTCACTTGAAAAAAGCCAAATACAGCTCATTTTTAATCCGTTTATAGTAGGCCTGGTACCTTGAGGCTTAACTCATTCTTGAATAGTGGCAGATTGTTCTCTTTAAGTGATTGGACGACTTCTTTTATCTTCCTCCTCAATTTTAGAATGGTGAGAGTATCATGGTTGAACTTGCAGCTGGACCTTTTGGAAATAACGAAAAGGTAGGGGTGGCAATTAGATAAAAATGGCTCCCCAGTGTATGTATGTGTTTCCAGTTAATCATTTTGTCTTCCTGTGTAATTCATTGGTCACGTAGTGCATGTTAAGGTATTGTAAAACTTATTTCTCACAAAATATAGCCCTTTTCTTAGTTATTCTAAATTATTAAATACCTATTGACTTGGGTTTCATCCTAGAATGATGGAAACTTGGTGGAAGCCACTGCTCAACCCTCAGCTCCCCATGAGAAAGTAAGGATTGTATTTCAGATATGTTCATTGGACTTTAAATCATATCCTCTGAGACAAGATTCTTCTTTGGGGAAAAAATCCACATTGCCCTCCCCCCCAAAAAAAAATCTGTTTCAAGGCCTAAGTCCTATTCTTAGTAAAAAGAGAAAAAAAGGTTACATGTGGGGATAGTAGATTAATACTGTTAATCCTACATATGTATTGGGTTTCATTTTTTTCAAAACTACGTATCTATTTCTTTCAAGCTTTCTATACATTCAGAGTGTGTGTATATATATATACACACACACACACACATATATATACACACATATATATATGTGCCTAGTTTTTGTTCTCTAATTTCAAGTTCTCTTAAAATATCAATTTTAAAATGTTAAAATAATTATTCTAATATCAGTCATTCTCTTTCTAAAAGATACAAGTAAAAAATTGCTAAGAGGTTTAGCAATTTTCCTTTTTTTTCCACAGTTGCCAGTAGTCATCAGAGTACCAAAGCTGATCTATTTCTCAGTAATGAGTGTGTGCCTCATGCCTGTTTCCATATTGGGTTTTGGAGACATTATTGTACCAGGTAAGCAGTTGTAACAATTTTAGTGAAAAACATACTGATGGTTTTAAATTGTCATATGTCTGCTAACAGTTTCCTACTCTGTAGTAATTATTTCTGGCTGTTGCTAGAACTGGGATTAGTGATAAAGATAGGAAAAAACTTATTGAGGGGTAGAAGGTAAAGCCCAGATGGTAACAGCTAAGGTACTATAATATCTCTCATGGCTCAAAGAGTGTCTTAGAAGCAGCAGCTAGGATCAGTTTAATCATTTTCCCCAAGAAAAGTATATTTTGTGGCTCTTTTTAGAAGTTGAATATAATAATGCCAAATATACAGTTTCGTTATTTCTATTGTAAAATAATAGTTATGTTTTAGGAAAAGTGGTTTAGGAATACTAGGCTATGTCATGATCAAGAGGAGAAATGTAATAGAACACCAGCTTTTAGGGCTTCATAATACAAAAATACTCAGTGTATGGTAGAATCAATCACCTTCTCTTAGCATATCTTCTCTGACAGTTATTGCAGATCTGTCATATTTTCCTCATTGGGCTGCCTGTAGAATAAGTGTCATCTGAGCCCAGTAATAATATAGTTTAGAAGTAATTAGTAACATTTCTCTATCAGCTAAATTTTTCTTTCTTCACTTTTCTTTCAGTCTCCCTATGCACTAAGTGCCTGTGGGTGAGTGAGGAGTGCTGGCTTTTAAAAAATCCTTCTGTTTACATAGTAAAAGCCAGGTAGAGAGAGAGGCTAGCTGGCAGTGTTGTTTTGTGAGTTGGCATGGCAAAGTCCAGTATACAGCTCTCTTAGTTCAATGAATCTCCATTCACATAATTGATAAAGTAGAGAAAACATTCTATTGAGTAACCTTACACTTCCTTGAGTATCTTTAAACTTATCCCTGGCTGGGCACGGTGGCTCATGCCTGTAATCCTAGCTCTCTGGGAGGCCGAGGCACGTGGATCGTTTGAGCTCAGGAGTTCGAGACCAGCCTGAGCAAGAGCGAGACCCCGCCTCTCCTATAAATAGAAAGAAATTAATTGGCCAACTAATATATATAGAAAAAATTAGCTGGGCATGGTGGCACATGCCTGTAGTCCCAGCTACTCAGGAGGCTAAGGCAAGAGGATTGCTTGATCCCAGGAGTTTGAGGTTGCTGTGAGCTAGGCTGACACCATGGCACTCACTCTAGCCTGGGCAACAAAGTGAGACTCTGTCTCAAAAAAAAAAAATTAACAAAAATTATATATATAAATTATATATATATATATATAGTAATGACACGATTATACCTAACTATAACTTCGAACTCCTGGATTCAAGCGATTCTCTTATATCACCTTCCCAAGTAGCTAGGACTACAGGCATGTGCCACCATGCATGCCTAATTTAAAAAATGTTTTTGTGTAGACACAGGGTCTCGCTGTGTTGTCCATGCTAGTCTTGAACTCTTATCATAAAACGATCCTCCCACCTTGGCCTCCCAAAGTGCTGGGATTATAGGCATTAGCCACCATGCATGGCCCCAAAATATTGTCTAAATTTTTTAAAAAATCAGTATGTAAAACTCTGTCCAGAATTTGAGATGCTTTAATGTTCTCATAAGGCAAAAATGAAAATTATATATAATACAGCGTATACTGTTACCATAGTTAACAATTGAATTTGTGTTGTTGTTGTTGTTGTTGTTTTAAGAAAATAATGTGGAGGTTTTTTTCCTTTTTTTAGGCCTGTTGATTGCATACTGTAGAAGATTTGATGTTCAGACTGGCTCTTCTTCTATATACTATGTTTCCTCCACAATTGGTAAATTTTGTTTTTTTCTTTTCATTATGCTGAATTGTGTCATCTGGAGGAAAAGGCAGAGGTCTAAAATGAAGGAGTCCAGGATTCTGATTCTTTACCATTAATCAATAAGTTTATCCATCAAAAGGGATTATACTTTACTATTTATATCATAAAGTTTTAGAGATTTAAAAAGAAAATTGAATGTAAAAGAAAATAATTAGATTATATATATATAAATGCTGATTGGAACACCTAGCCCATAAGTAGTTAATAAATTGCATATTACTAGATTTTTAAAAATAGTATGTTGGTCATTGTGTATTTATTTAAATGAATTTATAGCACAGTAACATCACATCTGGGATAGCAGAGGTAGTCATCACTTATCCTTCTATTTCTATTATTGTGAACACAGTTAAGAACAGTAAATAAACCAAAAAATACCCTGGTACATCTGAACATTTCAAATAGATATCTCAAAGTCCGTATACCAAAGCTCTTTATACTTAGATAAATGGCCTGTACCAGAGCCATTTAGATACTGTTCTAGCAAGATTTTCAAGTCCATGATGGAATTAAATCCAGTAAGTTAAAAGTATATATTAGTAGAAGAGAAGAGTGTTGCTAGAAATAGGTACCTTGACAACAAGAAAATAGCTAAGTGAGGGAGAAGATGAAGGGGAAAAAAACTATAAAGAAAAAAGAAAAGCAATTTGAGGCTACTAATTAATGGGGTACTTCCTAAGGGAATTAATGGATTACAGTCTACTACCAGTCAGTGTGATAGAATAAAAGAACACTCAATGAAAGTCAGCTTATTAGGATTATTCATTCATTCTGCTGTGTAAATTTGGGCAACTCACTTATACTCCCTGGTCCTCCATTGCCTCATCTTTAAAAGGGGGAGCTGGATTAAATTGTCTGTAAAGTTCCAATATTCTGAGATTCTGTGTACATAATGAAACCCTTAGTCATTAAGAAAAGTTCAAATGATGTTTGGTGTAAGCTTATTAAAGAACGTTATGAAGTATGTAATAAATATTAGGAAGGTTTTTCAAAACAACCTTTAGTACCTGTGGGTACACATTTAGTTATCTAAAATGTGGAGCCACTGAATGTCCTTAACAGTGACAGATAGTTGAGACTTTCTTGAATTACTATCTTTATCAATGGTTAATGGTTAGGTTAGTAATAATTAAAATACTAACCAGTTTCCAAATTTTTCAAAACCTCTTTAGAATAGCTCTCCATATTACTGTCTAAGAAAATAATGAAATTACAATAAGAAATCATAGTACAAAAATATCCTTAGAAATGTTTGAAAACCAATACTTGAATGAGGTATGAAAAACCCACCTTGATAACATATAGAAATGACTGATAACTTGGTATTCTTCTTGCAGCCTATGCTGTTGGCATGATACTTACATTTGTTGTTCTGGTGCTGATGAAAAAGGGGCAACCTGCTCTCCTCTATTTAGTACCTTGCACACTTATTACTGCCTCAATTGTTGCTTGGAGACGTAGGGAAATGAAAAAGTTTTGGAAAGGTAACAGCTATCAGGTATGTGCTTCTATTTTGGTTACCAAGTAATGACATAATTCACTGACAGAGTTTAAATGGGATTTATATGTGTGTGTGTGTGTGTGTGTGTGTGTGTGTGTGTGTCAAAGCTTTTATGTACCAAAAAGTTACCTTTGATCTGTCAGAATGTTCCAAGTTTTTCCATTATAGTTGGCCCTTTATATCCTTGGGTTCCACATATGCAGATTAAACCAACCATGAATCAAAAATATTTGAGAAAAATAAAAATATAAAAAAAGCAATATAACAAAAAAAGTAATACAAGTTTTTTAAAAGTACCACAGTTATTTACATAGCATTTACATTGTATCAGGTGTTATAAGTAATCTAGAGATGATTTAAAGGATGTGGCAGGATGTACGTGAGTTATATATAAATGTGGTGCCATCTTATATGTAAGGGACTTGAGCATCTTTGGATTTTGGTGTCCGTGAGTGCTAGAACTAATAATACCCTACAGATACCAAGGGATGGCTATACTACTCCTTATTCACTATCCACCTGTTGCATCATCAGTTCTCACCTCCTCTGCAATCTAATGCCAAAAGGCTCCCTACTCAAGACAGAACTACCAAAAAGCAGTGGGATGTGCTCACTTCGGCAGCACATATACTAAAATTGGAACGATACAGAGAAAATTAGCATGGCCCCTATTAAAAAAAAAAAAGCAGTGGGAGAGCATTAGGGAAAACAAAACAGTATTTCAACATGCATCTTCAAAATCTACACAAAAGTTGACTTCATGAAAGAAGAAACTATGTTTAAAATAACATAGTTATTTTGAGACCGACATTAGCTACTTATAGTAAGAGTCCTGATGTTTTGCAAATAAAAAGTATACTCTCTCCAGCATCTAAATAAGCCTAACTAAATTGGACAGGGCACTCACTTCAGATTTAAATGGATCAAGGTGGACCTTTCTTTAAAATTCCTAGAACAAAGAAAATCTTGATAACATAATCTTATTGTATTTGTTTCCTTATTGAAGTTAAGTTCCTTTCTTTTTTCCATAAATGTTGTTGGTATTCCATTAAAGTCTGTTTGCATTGAAATTAAGGAGGGTTGAGAAACTCTCGCCTATTGAGGTCAGGGCCATGGCATTGACCCCCGAAAAAGTAACAGCACTTTGTGAGGCAGTTAGCCTCTGCTTTGCCCTATTAAAACAAACTACCCTCCTCCCTCCACCCACATGCATGTGTGTCAGTGATCACATGAACAAAAAGAGAGACACTTTGGTTTGGGTGGCTGCATTCTGATAGTAGATAAACAGTTCAAAGTTCATGTCCATCTTGTGGTCGGTCTGAAGTGTCATTTTTAGTGTTATTTAATGAGAGATGGTTAATACATTAAGTGTCCAGCTACTATAATTAGAAAAAATACTGGTTTAGAGTTATTTTAGGGAAATCTTATAATTTCTTTGAAATTTAGTTAGTACTTGCCTTGTCTACTTCACAAAGCTGTTGTCTCAACTTATACTAATGACTATAGAATTTAATAGAGAGATGGAGTCTTGCTCTTGCTCAGGCTGGTCTCGAACTCCTGACCTCAAGCAATCCTCCCGCCTTGGCCTCCCTCAGTGCTAGGATTACAGGTATGAGCCACCATGCCAGCCAGATTTTTTTATTTTTATAGATTTTTAAAAATAAAAGTGTGTCCTGGCCGGGCACGGTGGCTCACATCTGTGAAAAGATGTTCATTACAGCACTTCTAGTCTTCTTGGTTCTATTTTAATGACTTATAGGTTAATGTTGTTATTGGCAGTTAAAGTACTAAAATCTTCACATAGAGCCTAACTCTGTTTTCACTTCAATAATTTTTCTTTTTCATGTTTTAATTAAAGAGTAATGCATGTTTGTAGTTTTTATATAAAGAATACAAAAGTGTTTAAAAACAAAAGGCCTTTTTTAACCATTCTACCTGTACCTCCATTCTTACAGGGCAGCTACTTTGAACCATTTGTATGTAGCTTCCAGATCTTTTTATGCTAACTTACACTGGAAATCGTTAAATATTCAGAGCTGTGGTATATGTAAATATATTAACATTGAATTTCTTTGGAAGTATTCTCCAACTCATTTTTCTCTGGTTTATTCTAATGCCTTTTCTCCTTTCTCTCTCTCGGTTATTGAGAGATAGAGAGGATGGAAGTTAAGGAAGGAATTCAACCAAGGGGTGCATTTATATTCTCTATGAACAAATTCTGTGCCCCGTATCATCCCAGTCTCATTCTCAAAAACCATGATTCTGCTTCATTACAGAATCATAAAGGAAAAGATCACTGCAGCTGGACACAAAGCAGTAATAGCCCCAGAAGGACAGACTTCAGGGACTTTGCTATATGACATTGTAGCTAAGTAAGGCAATTGATTGATTGTAGGAAAATACATTGAAAAGTATCTGAAGACATAGGCTACCTTTGGTTATAAACTTCTCACTTTTGCAGTGTGGTCTCTTAATTTTATTAGGCAAGGACATTCAGAATACAAAATTACACATTGTAGTAAAGAACATGGAGTCTGGTGCCAGACTGCCTAAATTTGAATTCTTATTTTGTTAATTATAAGCTATGTGACCTTGGGCAAGTAACTTGGCTTCTTGCTGCCACAGTTTCCTCCATTGTAGAATGGGGTAACAATCAACCTACTTCAGAGGGTTGTTGTAACAAATATGTTAATATATGCAGATGGCTTAGAATACTGCCTGCAGCATCATAAGCACTGTAACTTCATGTGCTATGTTATTTGTAGGATTCAGGATTTTTTGTTTCAGTTTATTTGTTGCTTTGATTGTTATTTTTCAATTTATTAATAACTAGATTTTCATTTTCCTGGTTTAGATATTGAAACTTTGGGTTTTTGTTAAATCTGGTTCCTTTAACTTACTTGTAAAAGAACAAATTCTAAGCCAAGCTATCGCAAGCCTCAGAAAAAATTCTGTGATTCATGGATTCACTCCATGATTTTTCCCATTGTGCACTAAATTTTTAAATATTAAGGATGGACATTTGCTGAAATTTTAGGCAAGTCAGTTGCAGAATATTAAAAATTGCTGCCAGGAGAGTATTTTTCAGAAATTTAGCATTTTTGAAAGTTATATAATATAATGCCTTTCTAAAATTATTTCCCTGTTTATCTGAAAAATAAAATCTCTAATTGCTTATGTCCAGCCTTTAAAGTCAAAATTAGGCTGGGCATGGTGGCTTACACCTTAATCCTAGCACTCTGGGAGGCCAAGGGAGGAGGATTGTTTGAGCTCAGGAGTTTGAGACCAGCCTGAGCAAGAGCAAGACCAGTCTCTAGTAAAAAAAATAAACAGAAATTAGCTGGACAACTAAAAAAAATATATATATATATATATAAAATAGCCAGGCATGGTGGCGCATGCCTGTAGTCCCAGCTACTGGGGAGGCTGAGGCAAGAGGATCCCTTGAGCCCAGGAGTTTGAAGTTGCTGTGAGCTAGGCTGACGGCACAGCACTCTAGCCTGGGCAACAGAGTAAGACTCTGTCTCAAAATAAATAGATAAATAAATAAAGTCAAAATTAGTTTAGCTTGAATGTCATCATTTGTGGGAGAGAGTATATTATGGTATTTGACATCAGTTCTGGCAAATTACTTAATCTCTGAAGCCTCAGCCTCCTCATCCATAAAATGAGATTGAGTCTATAGACAGGTAAGGGAATAAGTAATCTGTAGTTTTGGGTTAGCCCAAGGTTTAGTGAGACAAGTAGATGTTGAAATCAGGTAAGGTGTTGAAATCTAGGCAGAGACTTCAAAAGTAGAAGAAAGTAGACTGAGGAACCTCAAAAGCCTGGTAAGAGAGGTAGACTTGGTATGAGCCCGTTGTGGGGTAGGCTTGAGTGTCAGCCCTGGTTCATCTCTTAGGCTAACAGTGTATTATTCCTTTTTCCCTCTCCCCCACCCTTTATCACCTCCAAAGTTTTGTCAGTCTCTATTTCCAGAATGTCCCTTATTTACCTCCCAAATCAATCTACCTTCTCTAAGCAGACCTCCAAGAAATTAGAAGAAATCAGGTCTTCCTGTTGAAATTAGATTCAGACTCTGTACTTTAAATACTTATTAACATCTTCCCTGCAGTGTAGGTATTTATGTATGCCTCTCCCTCCAAGTTATTAGCTCCCAGGTATTAGGAAGCCACAGTGCTTATGACAGTATTTTTATACCATAAATTTTCAATGTTACTGAAATTTTTTATGAAATGCAACTATAATGTTCAATTCTTTTTTTTTTTTTTGAGACAAAGTCTCGCTTTGATGCCCAGGCTAGAGTGAGTGCTGTGGGGTCAGCCTAGCTCACAGCAACCTCAAACTCCTGGGCTCAAGCGATCCTGCTGCTTCAGCCTCCCGAGTAGCTGGGACTACAGGCATGTGCCACCATGCCTGGCTAATTTTTTCTCTATATATTAGTTGGCCAATTAATTTTTTTCTATTTATAGTAGAGATGGGGTCTCACTCTTGCTCAGGCTGGTTTCAAACTCCTGACCTCGAGCAATCCGCCCGCCTCAGCCTTAATGTTCAATTCTTAATCCACCGACATTTAGTCACTTTTGTGTTTCAGTAGCCCTCATAAAATTACTATAACTGTCACATGATATTTGTAAAAGTGAGGCACTTTTGAAGCATTAAACTAGACTTATATCTGTACAATCTTTATATAGAGTCTTTTTTTTTAAGGTATCAAAAGTTTTTGCTACTGTTTTGAAATAACCAAATATAAAACAAGTAATATAAAACAAATTTTGAATCTAAGGTAATGGCAAATTTGTTTATGCTATTAATCATTTGGTTCATTCTAATGCCTGATATTAGAGTTGACTGTAAGAGTAGTGGTGGTAGAAACAGTCCCATTGGAGACTTTTTTAATGTCATCGGTATCCCAGTTTTTTTATTCTGTGTTCAATGGACAAATTATACCTCATATGTTGTTGTAACTTGGAGACTTCATTAAAATACTTTAGTATCTTACTTGGAGTCTTTCGGGCCTTTCTATGAATTTCTCTCATCAAAAGGAGTAATATTTCTATAAGATTTCACTAAAATAATACCAATTTGGAAATCTTAATTGTAAAGTCTTTTCTATAGCCCAAAGGTAGTTATACTATATTTCTTGTGAACTTTTTTTCTGGAATGTTTCAAGACTACAGCACTCAGTTCTATTTATTTGATTTTACTTGAAGCCTTAGTTCTAATTAGGGTAGTGTAAACAGATAAATAAAGATATTTTTTCTCTAGAGTGAAAAATCAGTCATAATTACTTTGACAGAACAATGAAGAGAAATCATAATTTTAGGAGATATTGTTTCTAATACTAAACTGATGGAGTCAGATATATGTGGCAACCTCCAATGGGCTATTTTACTTTGGGTGGGTAGTAAGTTTTCAGTTTGTTGATACTCAGTAAACAGAGTTGTCTCTGTTAAATGTCACTAGTACTTCTAATTATTTTTAGAAGTCACAAGCTGTAACTGACAAGTCAGTATACAGAGATAACTTAGCACGACTCTGCTTTAGTATCAACAAGTCTCCAGTTACTCTGCATTAATGAGTGGGTTTTTTTTTATTATTATTAGACTGTTTCTGGAGATGGGTTCAATTATAAATAAGTAGAGCTCCCAGAAAATGCCAGGTTAGCTGACCCAATTCCAGAGGACATCTTTCCAAACCGAGCTTTCCTATTTATAAACATTACGAAAATTTATACCAATTTTGCCATTTAATTTTATTATTTATATTAATTTGTTGTGTTTTTAAAAACTTCAAGTTTGTTGTTTATGTTTCTATATTGTTTTTATTGAAACGTCAATAGGGAGTATAGATGCTTCTTTCTCAATAAATTGACTCTGAAAATGTTTTTTAATTAATATATTTCTGTATTTAGAGATTAAATTATAGTGCCAATGAGGTACCTGGGGATTAGGAAAGAAGAGGCATGTTATAATTTAGGGTGTGTGGGCTATTATATCATTAGGTTACAGTTGCCGGAGTAAGCAGTCTTTGGGAAGAAAGAGGGTTTCCTCACCGTCCATTTTGCTGAGACTGCTTCTCTTCCCAGAGCCATAGCCTCTCACACCCAGCTTCTAAATTGCTAGAAGAAAGGGAATCTAAATATATCTTACATGCATCTCCTTTCTCTCCCTCATTTAAATTGTGAGTAACATTAATGTTCAACAACTTTACCTTATATTTCATGTAGTAAAGTGCTTAGTAAATTATACCAGTCTTTATTTGGCTTTTATTTACCCCCCCCCAGAAGTTCTATGAACATGTAGCTACCTTAATCTAAGGGATATCTTTGGTAAATGGAGGACCTCAAAACTGACTGGACTTGAGATGACTTGTAGAGTATCAGCAGGCTTGGGTTTTGTAAGCTGTCTCCATTAGTTGATACAGTTGTCAGTTGAAAGCCTCAGCTTATGTTGTATTCTTTTTGTCTGACAAGATAATAGACTTGATTCCTCCCTCCTCTTCCTCTCCAAAAAACACTAAAGCCTTCACAATGAGTTTACAAAAATAGGAACATTTATCTTGCTGATCTTTCCTTCTAATTCTTGACACAGGAGAAGGGAAAAAGCATATCACAATACTGACATTTAATAACTAGTCTAAAAGTCTTTGACAATCTTCACAAAGACATGAGCACTGTTTTCAATTTTTAAGTAATTTTAGCTGAAGAACAGGGTTAAAACACTTAAAGCATTTAAGCAGTTTCTTCTTCATTCCTAAATATAAAACAATTTTTATGGCAATATAAGCAGAGCCGAAGTGACCATGTAAGAAAAGTTTAACTGGTAATCCCTTTAAAATAGTCTACAGCATATGTATTCTTGATTTTGTTTTCAGATATCATTTGACTTTTAAGTCCCTTCAAGTTTATTTTTTAGTGGAAATTTTTGTTATAATATTCCTGAAATTGCATGTATCATCCTTAAATTATCTTAAGGTCAGTTTGAGGTGTCAATAACATTACACTGTCTCAGAGCCAGCAGGTATTCTGACAGTGACTCCTGGGGTCATTTTTAGTTTTTCTACTTGTACAAGTGGATACTGCCTAGAATAGTGTCCTGGAATATCTTCCTTTTGTGGTGGAGTTCTCACTGCCAAGGAGGGGAATATTCATATGGGAAATAGAGATAATACAAGATCCAAAGAAAGCAGTTATCACATTGGCCCTGAGTCACATGATTAGGCTTCCCAAAGGCTCAGTGTCACCCCAACCATCTCCTTAGGAGTGTGGATATTGAACCAGAACAGTGCTCCAGTAGGAATGCTCAGTAATCTGTGTCTTTTCTAAAAGCTGGGAGTCCTTTGGCTAAATTAGTGAATACAGGGTGCAAGTTGAAAAATTGCATTTCCTAACATGTTTTATTTACGCCTAGATGATGGACCATCTGGACTATGCAACAAATGAAGAAAACCCTGTGATTGCTGGTGAACAGATTGTCCCGCAATAATAGTATGTGAACCTGCAATCATGTGCCAATTGATTTTCTACAAATAGAGTTTGACTTGTAAAATCGACCTTTGAATTGACAATCTGGAAGAATCTTCAGTGACATGCTTGCAAGCATATATTTTTATGAGCTGGTACTGACAATTACATCACAAATAATTAAAATGCATTTGCTTTTAATCATGTTAAAGTTGTGCCTTCACATTAAATAAAAGCATATGGTCTGTGTAATTACTAAGAAGTATTATATACAGTATATTTTTCAAAAAAATGTCTTGACCCACCCTTGTACTTTTTCTTACTGAAATCTGTCTCTTTCAACTCTGCCAGATGAAAGTATTAGTGTCAAAGAGAGTTTCTAAACAGATTTTACTGTTAAAGAATCATGTAAATTTTATGTGCTCTGTAGAAATAATTGTTTAAGACCATGCAAGAAGGCAGTTCAACAGTTAAAATTTGGACCTTAAATCACTGCAGAATTAGAAATATATAATTTTGGAATAAATATAAATGCATATTTTATAGCATAATTTAAAAAAAAATCCTTTTTTAAACTTGAGGTTAAAACTGCATATGTATTCTATTAGAATCTTTTTCCAAGTATAGAGAAGCATAATATATAGAACTAGTCACTGAAAGGTCACAAAAACTAAAATCCAGTTTTCAGTGGTCTACTGTTTCCTTGAAGATGTATTATAGCTTAAATTTCTATACTAAAGTTCAATTTCACTTTGGTATTTCTGATCTTAGAAATTTGGTTCTATCAATGTTAAGGTTTGATCTTTGAAAATTATTTTTCTTAAGAAATTATATACCAGTACATATGGCTTATTGTTTGAGTGCAACATACCTAACTATCCCCACCACCACCTTTTTTTCTTTCCTGACTTTCACTTCTTTCCCCATGGGTAACCACTATGAACCTTGATAGAGGATGGCATTAATGTACAAAGTATGGATCAGAGGAAAGAATTGGAGACAAACGTCAAGAGACTGGATGTTAGTCTCAGTTTAATTACAGTATAAGGAAGAGTTTGAGTGATTTGCCTCAGCTCAAGACACTTGTATCTCAGTCTCCTCATCTACAAAATGTATAGGTTAGATTAGTTAATCTAGCTCTAGTACTCTTCAACTTGAAAAACATTTTCTCTCATTCTTTGGTAAATCTCAGATATGGCCTTAAACATTCTCCAGATCGAGTCAAATTATCTTTCCATTTTGTTTCTTTTCTTCTTTCTTTCCTTTCTTTTAAAGACTGCAGAGTCTTGCTATGTTGCCCAGGCTGGTCTCAAACTCCTAGACTCAAGCTATCCTCCTGCCTTAGCCTCTGAAGTAGCTGGGATTACAGGTGTGTGCAAACATGCCCGCCCATTTTCTTTTGTTTTCTCTAAGAAATTCCCAAACAACAGGTGATTGCAAAAGCAGCAGGATTTTGCATTTCTCTGTAAATAATGTATAAAACATATGAACAGATCTATTTTCTTTCATTCTAAGGCCAGCTCAACTTATTAAAAGATACAACTAATGCTGTTTAAAATAGTTCAGACCTTTGATGTTTGAACAAAATTTAGCATTAGGTGTTTTGTTTTTGTTTTGTTTTGTTTTTTGGGGTATTTTTAGGGCCCAATTCTATTCTTGAAAATAGGTTCATTTGTTTCAAGCAATGACTTAACTGACAAGTAAGGGTTAATCTTAATTTTGCACCATTATATCAAGTTTGAATTTTTTCCAAGGAATCTAGTTTATTTGGCAGACTCTGTTAGAGAGAAGAACAGATTAAGTGCCATTTTAAAACTCCAACTATATTTTCATTTATAACATTAATAAAATGTTTGCCAAAATACAGCTTTTTAAGTAAAATTATCTGTACTCTTATCCAGCTTTATGATATCCAAAAGCCTCAATCACATTTTATAAAGAATGTTAAAGGAAATTACTGGGATTTTTTTTTAAATAAGATAGTTTCTCAAAATAAGTTGGTTTTATATAACTGGAGTAGTAGTAATTAATATTTTAATCGATAATCTAGATTTTGCTCCAGAAGAGCATTTTAACTTGTACATCTATAAATCTGAAATCTGAGTTATTTGATACAAATTCTACTTTATGCAATCATTAGTTATCAAGGGGGTAAAACCTTGTTCTAGTTTGTTATTAAAATCTTATTGATTAAATAGAACTTTTAAAAAGGTGAAATTTCTTAAGTTTCTTCATCCTTGGTGTCAATATTATAGTTAAACTTCTAACAATGAGCTAAAAATAGAGAAATTAAAGTACAGAAATATTTTGGGAATCAAAATGAACAAAAGATAAGAGAAATGAAAATTTGCCTTTAAAGGATATATCATCTCTTCCTCTCTTACCCTCCCACCACCAATAACTTTAAAGGAAACAGATGCTGCTTTTTTCCTTAAACATGTCTTAAAAACAGCGATATATTGTATTTATTAATACTTTTTGCAAAAAAAATATTAGAAAATCCCTATGAACATTTTTATGGCCTATCAGACAAATTATAATGTCTCAAATTATAATGTAGATTCTTTTTACATCGGTTTAGTTCAGCAAAAATAAATATGAGGCTTGTGGGGAAAGACCTTGGTATTCTGATACAATATATTTTCTTCTAGCTTGTAGATTTTTTAGATTAGCAATTCCTTATTTAGTAGAGCCTACAATTTATTTCCCTTTTGAAAGAAGAGAATTCTAACCCATCTGCTATTGGCATTCATATATTTTAGTTACATGTCTGTAAAGATTTTGGTGAAATGGTACATTTATAGAAAATACAAATGAGCTTTCCAGTTTTCTTTGCTCTTTAAATTTCTGTGTTAAGTATAAGCAAAAGTTAATTTTACATTTGACTAAAAAATAATTTATTTAAGCTCAATCTCTAAAATTTCAGTCTGATCTCAGCCAATGAAATTTCAAAAACACAGGAATTGTATTTCAGGCTAGTGGAATGTACTCATTTGAAAGGCTTTGTAGTTTCCCATTAACAAGGAAAAAATTGGTTGAATTTATTCAAGATGATAACAAATAACCAATTCTACAGTTTAAATTTTTTTTTTTAATTTTTATTTTCAGTGCTCTATTTACCACAGAGGATAATTCTAGAGGGAATTGAGTAAGGGTAATGCAAATAAAATCAAAATATTGAATATAAATCACTTTATGCTTCCTGGAAGATAGATACTCCATGAATTCAAGAGATCTGGATCAAATTACTCAGCCTTTTGGAATTTGATCCTCTACTATAGTACTCGTGTTAAATTACCAGATTTTCAGAGTAAAAAAAAGTTCTTTTACAGGGTACATGTAGGCCAGATTATAGAAGAAAATAAATATAAACTGACTTGTTTAATGTTTTCATACTCAGGACAGCTTTTGTATATGAAAATGCTCATTGGGGGAAAACCTTTTTTTACACTAAATTTTTAGAGTAGTTCTCCATTACTCACAATTAGGGGCAACTTAAAAAATGTAGACTAATGTCATCATGTGGTTCTTTGATTAGGCATAAAAAGTATTAATAAACAACTTTTCTATTCATTTGGAATATGAATCTTATTTTTCTAATGTCTAAAGTTTATCTGGTTAGCCTGCAGCATTTTCCAGTAGGACAAGTCAATGTAAATTAGGTAGTTTGGGCATATTTTATACCTTCTGTTGAATTTTGTTCAAATGAAAATCTTCTTAAACATGATTGAATTTTTACTTCTTAGATGATTGGCTTGCATATGGGATTTTTAAAAACACTTTGATATGTATATTAGTGTAAATTAATACTTTTATAACACTACTAGGGCTTTATTTTTTTATGGAATATGATTTAAAATTTTAAATTTTTGAAGTGTTAATTTAGCAGTGCTTTACACTGTCTTCATTATGTGCCAACACTGACAAGAAAAACAATTTTTTTCATGTATGTAATTCACTGTGGTATTCAATAAATTCTATTTTAAAATAAAATTTAAATGTTTTATTTTGAATGGTGAAAATGAAAATGAACTAACAGTAACATGAATATACTAGATCATGTTCATAATGCAAAAATGATAATGATCGTTTATAAAATTGTATAGTTTTCCAGGTCTGACAAATTATTATTAAAATCTGGATTTCATAATTGATATTTACGGGATATTTATATTGATACATACTAACAGTTTAATAAATATTTATTGATGTATGTATAGACTCTTTTTTACCAAGAAAGTAAAAAAAAACCTCTTGCGATGAATACCCCTAGCATTTCTATTTTTTGCTGATGTTTCCCACAAATTATCAAGATCCTTGTTGCTATTGTACTGTTTATTTTAACTCAGATGAGACTGGTCTAGATCTGTATCTGTAGTTTGTCTTGATGACATGTTGAGAGAGTCCTTTCCTTCCCTCCATGTCCTGATGCAGAGGAACCTTGTTTCATCCCATAGGCCCATATATCTGGAAAGAGACGTAAGAAACTGAAAGGAGTGGCTATCTATAGGGAGAGGGAGTAAGATGGCTGGGGCACAGGGATGAGGAGACAGTTTTTCCATGTATACTTTTTTTTTTTAATTTTAGAATATTATGGGGTACCTATGTTTTGGTTACATAATTTGCTTTTGTACAGTTTGAGTCAGAGTTATAGGTGTGCCCTTCACCCAGATAGTGCGCATTGTACCCGTTAGGTGTGAATTTACCTATCCCCTCCTCCCTCCTCCAACCTGCTCGATTTCTGTTGAGTTTTACTTCCATATGTACACATAAGTGTTGATCAGTTCCATGTATACGCTTATGCCTTTTAATTTTCTTTCATATACTTCTGTTAAGTATTCAAAATACAAATATCATAAAAATCTATTGAATTATTTTCTTCTTAATATGTGTTCATACAGCTGGTTAAATAGTATATTACTGATATCATTTTCTTTAGGTAGTAGGCCTCATAAATAGTCTAATGTGTGTAGTAGGAATAAAGGGAGAATTTTTTTTTTTTTTTGAGACAGAGTCTCACTTTGTTGCCCAGGCTAGAGTGAGTGCCATGGCGTCAGCCTAGCTCACAGCAACCTCAAACTCCTGGGCTCAAGCAATCCTCCTGCCTCAGCCTCCTGAGTAGCTGGGACTACAGGCATGCACCACCATGCCCAGCTAATTTTTTCTATATATATTAGTTGGCCAATTAATTTCTTTCTATTTATAGTGGAGATGGTCTCGCTCTTGGTCAGGCTGGTTTCGAACTCCTGACCTCGAGCTATCCGCCCACCTCAGCCTCCCAGAAT